CGTTGGATCGCTTCTTGTTAGCTTCACTGTCTACATCATCCCTGCCCTTGCTCATATGTTCACCTTCCGATCGGCTGCCGCACGAGAGGTATAATTCATTCTACAATCTACACTACATGATCAACCATTACAATGTTGGTTTATTCTGTATACTGATGTTTATGGTTTAGGGTTTAGGGTGTCAGACACACGTAAACCAGACTTTTTGGATACTATTAGTTTACTTTGTATTGTATATAAACGTTTGACTAGTTAACTTTTGTGATGCAGAATGCGGTGGAGCCACCACCAAAGTTTTTTGGGCGATGGGTGGGAACGTACACGATCAATGCTTTTGTAGTTGTGTGGGTATTCATTGTTGGATTTGGATTTGGAGGGTGGGCGAGTATGACAAACTTTATACACCAAATTGACACATTCGGGATCTTTACTAAGTGCTACCAATGCCCGCCACAACTTCCGACACCACCACCACTCTTTAACTCAACTGCTCCGATTCCTTCTCCATCACACTTCCAAATCTTCGGGAGTGCACTATCTCACAACCGTTGAATCAAGCTTGAGCTTTCTATCCACCGAGATCATAAATCGCATCAGTGTGGTGACTTAATCGCTTCATTTTTATTGTAGTATAGAAAATATGTGGAAATTTGAATTAATTTATGAGAAAATATTGTTTTCATATTCCTTATAATATGTGTTGTGGGTTTGGTTTTTATCACATTTTGTAGCACCTTATGCACCATATGCCATGGTAAAGAGAGAAATGTAATCATTTACTTCATTTGCGAATTTGAGTTATAGTAAGAGAACTAAGAAAGCAATGTTAACAACAAGACTAATTGTTCGGGTACATTTTTCACACAAAATAATTGAAAAGCTTGGAAATTAACTAACAAACGATCTTCTAGCCGGTCAAAAAAAAAACTAACAATCTTCCACAATGGAAGATTCAGAACGTGGATCACGAAACACAAAAGATTTTTACTTGAACGAAACATTCGCCTCTTTTAATTTCTCTTATTCAATATATAAACAAATAATATAAAATGAATCGGAGATGTACATTGGGTAAAGACAAATTACAAAAGTTTGCAACACATTCGTATAAAATATTACTTATATATTCTTATAAACTAGGTGTGAGACCCGTGTATTACACAGGTTTATTAAAAACAAAAATTTGAAATGAATATATATAAACATTAAATATTTTATAAAATAATGCTTTTCCATAACAAAATGTAATCTTTTGGAGCATTTATTAAAGAAATCAAATCCTTTGAAGCATTTATGAGAATTTATTATCAAATTAATAGAATGATAACCTTATATATATATACTAGTTTATAACCCGTGAGAACCACGGTTATAAAATTAATTAAGCTTTCATATTAAAAAATCAAAATTATTAATCAATTATTTTAAATAAATTATTACTTAAAGGTATTTTTTTAGTTATATAAAATTATAATCGTTAATTTAAATAAATAAGTGAAGTTATATCACCTTATAATATGTATTAATTTTATTTTATTTTTTAATCTAATGCTATTAATTTAATATAATTAAAATGAAAAATTCTGAAATTTAAAATTTAAAATTTAATGTAATCAGGATGGAAAATTTAAAATTTGAAATTTAAAATAGATAATTAATATGTTGACAAGTAGCATGATATGAGACATATAAATATTA